ATTGATTAATGACCAGCCGATCAGCTGATTGTCATGTGGGTGCCGGTTAGGAGATCCACGTTCAAATGGCAGCAACTTTATGTGAAAGGCAGTGGGCACGATGGCTGCAGGTGGGCGGTTGACGCCAGCGTTATCGGTGAAATGGCTAGGAGAGGGCGTTTGGCCACACCCCATTCGGCCCTTCCACCAATAACGTTGGCGACAACCAGGCGCCCCCAACCATCGTACCCACTGATTTTGAATGAATTAGGCACTGGTTCGAATGTCGCGCACGTGCGCGTGGATCTCCCAACCGACATCCTTGTCATCTCATGTCTGTCCGCATAGCGTTAAATGTTACAATCTGATAAAGAATTTGATTAATTCATTCGGCACATTTCAATTACAGTACACGAATTACTGGCGATTCTGATACAGCTCGTCAACCACACAACTACTATGATCCATATGATTTTCGCCGCAAAACTCAGACATGCGGGGGTGGGGCGCAGTCAAACACTGCAATCAGCGTGAACTGTTCCACCCAGAGGGGAACAGTGGGACAAATGTGGGAATCAAAATGACTCAGCTTCAGGGCCAAAGCGGAAGTCGAAAGTCTCGGGGGCTGAAATTGAAAGGGGAAGTAGGGTTATACCAGGGACACAGGCGCCAACGTTGATAGGAAAGAGGGGCATTCTCCTCTGTGTTCCTTCCCAAGGCAGGGCTTGTGCTTTTTCTTCCCAAGCAAGGCGTAGACCTAGTACAGACTATGTTCCTCTGCAAAACTGCCTTTTGGCGGCTTTAACCGTCTGCGCTCTTAACCAGCCTTGGTTGGGGGAAGGGACGCTGATGCGTGGCCGAGCGCCCTCTCCCTCCCACTGGTGCCGGAACAATCAGATTAGGCTGAAATCAAGTCCGGTGAATTGCTGTTCTTCCCACAATGACGCGGCGAGATCATTATATGGATCACTTAATTCTACAATTTCTCAAACATGGCCAAACTTCTGGGACAACTGACGATATGACATAATCAATGAACATATTGACATAGATGATTATAATTTGTTAGTAGGTGGAGTCCATTTATAGGTCCCAGTGAACACATAACCGTATTTCCGCATCAATTCATCGGCATCATCTGGACCACGGCTGAAATTGTTGGTTGACATTTGGCAGCTGGCTACGACTTAGTCAAGCGATATGCATTTGAAGCATGATGCTACCCGAGTGGGAGGCCGAGCACATCATGCGTTGGGGATAGAACACGGGGGTCGTGCTCAGCCTAAATTTTAGCGCTAACGACTTGTGGGAACATTTTCCACTCTTGCTAGTTCATTTCGCGACCGCACTGCCAACGACGCTTCAAAATAAGTCAGACAATCCGTCTCCTCGGCGGACAACTCATCCAAAATCTTGAGCTAGTGTATTTCCCTAAGAGGCTGTAAGGCGACGACCTGGCTGAAGCTATTAGGTTGTCCGCAAAGTTGTCAGCGTTTTGTGTTGCTATTGTTTGTACATTCATTGCAGTACATCCTGAAGAGAATTTTTGCGCTATCTGATGGTATAATTGCCGTTTCACCATTGCTTGACCCCCTTTTCCCAAGACTTTTTGAAGCATGTCAAAAAGAGCAACTTCGGACGATATTTTTCTTCACTACAAATTGGGTCAATCCGCAGTCGAGACAGCTCGACAAATTAACCAGGTGTGGGGGCCCATAGTGTTGGAGAAAGCACCGTGCGACAATGGTTCGACAAATTTCGTTCTGGAGATTTCAGCCTTGAAGATGAACCTCGTAGCGGTCGACCTAAAGCAATACCTGACGAGGATTTGAAGGCGTTTGTGGAGGCTGACCCATCCCAAACAGTTCGAGAGATTGCAGAAAAGCTAGGCGTTGGCAAATCCACTGTTGCGGATGGTCTGAAACGCATTGGGAAGGTGAAAAAACTCGACAAGTGGGTGCCCCACAATTTGAGTGACCGGCAGAAATTGGCACGTCTCGAGGTTTCTTCTTCACTGCTTTTGCAACAGAAACGTTTTTGGACCGAATTGTCACCTGTGATGAAAAGTGGATCATGTATGATAACAGGAGACGTTCCGGACAGTGGTTGGATTCCGACGAACCACCGAGGTAATTTTCAAAGCCGAACCCTCACGAAAAAAAGATTCTGGTCACAGTTGGTGGTCATCGGCTGGTGTGATCCACTATAACTTTTTGTCACCAGGCCAAACCATCACAGCAGAGTCCTACTGTGAAGAAATCGACGAAATGTACCGAATTGCGTCAGCTGCAGCCAGCACTTGTCAACAGAAAGGGTCCGATTCTTTTGCATGACAACGCCCGCCCACACGTTTCACAAATCACTATCCATAAATTGAACACGTTGCGGATCATTGCGTCCCACTGCTGGGATGCGGCATGTGTAAAAGACCAATTTGAATACGTTTCAAATTTTTAACAGCTACATATTATAGAGGAAGGCATTGTATAATATGCAGTAGGTGTAAACAATGCAGTTGTGTCATTGAGAGTATTTTACCAAGGAGGCAAACGAAAGTGATTTCCTTAGGAAAAAAAGCAATTATTGTTATTTGCAGAACTGGAGCTCCACAAGCAGATAGCTAATGGGATAAAGTAACTTTCAACAATAGCAGATCTGGATCGAATCCGATTTACCACCTCTGCCGCGAAATTATTTCCTTTTTTTTTCGGACCCTTCATTCACGTCCACGGTGATGAGGCGGGAGGAATCTATGGGAAATTTCGGATTATCTTGGAAGTAATGGAAAGTAGCGAAGTTTTACTAGCTTCTGCAATGAATTCTTATCATTCTTCAATTGTTTTGGTGCATAAAAGCCCTAGCATTTATGCGCACTCGTCAAAAATAGGGAAAAACTGCTTTGTCCCACGCGGCAGACACGCGAAAAAGGGCGCTGTCGCCAATGTGTTAAACGAATTGGGGGTTGAAGTTCTACCTCACCCGCCATATTCTCCAGACCTTTCACCAACCGACTATCACCCATTTTCAGAACTTCCTTGCTGGAAAATACTTCATCAATCAGGACCAGGCAAAAAAGCCTTCGTGGATTTCGTGGATTCTCGACCACCCAGTTTTTTCTTTGATGGGATTTATCGACTGGTGTCACATTGGCAAAAGTGTGCTGATTCGAACGGTGCTTATTTCGATTAAATCCGATGAGTATTAAGAAAGTTATGATCGTTTAAAGTGAAACACTCAAAACGCTGAGAACTTTCCGGACAACCTAATAGAAAATACGAAAACCTCATAGTTCAGTGATTCGGACGAGTTATCCTACCCAGCAGACACATGTCATTACCTGTCAGGACCCGTTGATAGCTATGTGATCGCGTCAAACGAGCGGCTTACAAGCAACTTTGCTCACATGAATTTACAGGTCTTCACAATTGGGCCCGTGCAATTTCAGCTAAGCACAATTCGGTGTCCCCACCAAGCCGAATTGCGTCAGAATTTTCCACAGTGTGATTATAAGCTCTATTCGAAGGAGCACGTGACAGCGCATTTGAGTCTGCTCTCCCCGTGACTGAATTCTGCAGTAGCACTGAATCTTCCTAATGCAAGACTCTATGAAGAGCAATAAATACCTAAAAGTAGACGAACCTTCCAAATTTGTACTGGGTCGGTTGAACTCGTTTCTCTTCGATCTCCTTCAGCACAGGTGTGAAAATACGCCATGCGTTTTCAAGCTCATCCGTACGAACAAAATTAATCTGAGATCCCATAAACACTTCCAAAAACAGCCGTTCATACGCGTCAGGTAACCGAGTATCCTGAATTAAGTTGAGTTCACACTGTGCTGTTCATTTGACACCTGCGCGAGCGGTCGCGTAGCGGCTACTTCTACACTCAAAAACCATCACTGGTAATTAGTAATGCCCCAAGGTTTCTCGCACACTTAATAAATGCTCTGCTTCGACACCCTTAAATCATTTCAGAAGCGGAGTGTCGGAAAGCGGTTTTACAGGAACCGCGTCGCAAACCGCGCGCGTCGATGATCTGCGAGTCGCCCAAACCCCAAATCACGAATGAGACGAGTGAGCCATCACTGCGAATTAACTACCTTGTATCGAGCATTGTAAGTGAGATCGAGCTCGGATTCTTCAACACCAAAACCCATGCCAGGTTTCTTGGTCATAATTTTGAGATATACTGCTTCGTTTGGCTGTACACGCATGACAAATTCACTTCTAAAAATTAATCGATATTTATTGGTAGCGAGAAGAGGGGTCGTCGAGACCATACCTTTTGAGTTCACCTGGAGGATAGATATCACCATTAACTTCCTTGAATTGCACACGAACTTCGGTTTTACTCTCGTTCAATGCTGCAAATAAATCAGAGACGTAAAACAATTAAATACGAAAATTGGGTAAAATAAAATAAATATAAGGAATAAATCTTGGCGTAGTTCGGCTTGGTGGGGGGGGGCCACTCACTGAATGGTACTCAGCTAAGCTTTCACAGGTAACCTTGGAAGAAATGTGGGTTCCTGTTACCAAAAAGGTTCACTTGAATTTTGCAACTTCTTTGGAGTTCACACGTCTGCGCAAAGTGGCAGCTGACATCCAACAGGAGCTATCAAAATTGACTATCACAAGTGCGAACTGCCCCTCCAATCCGAACACCGCCACAGATCTTCATAAAGTGTGAATAAATTCAGTATGAAAGCTGGACATGTGAGACATACATACACTGGCTTTATGGATTTTATAAGCAGTAGACCGGATTGCTGGGGATGGGCGGTTATCACTAACGTCACTGGTGGAAGGGCTTAGTGGGAGTGTGGCGGAATGCCCTCTGGCAGCCCTTCCACCAATGACGCTCACAGCAACCGCCCGCCTCCAGCAATGCGCCCACTTCCTTTAAGGACCACAAAATCGGTTTTCAAGGTTGCAGTGACACAATGGCAAGCATGAGCACGATCATGAAATCAAATCCGGGAGCCAGTCCGCTCGGGCCAACCACATCTTCATTCCAGGGCAAGTCTGAAAACCATTCGTTCCCCATCTTCCCTTCTTACCTTTGTCTCAAGTATAACCCACGTCCGATCAAGAGCCCATCTCATCTACCTTATCACCTCCTAATTCCCTAAATACACGTCGAGCAGGGGAGGGAATGCATTGCAGCAGAGGTTGAGGAAATTCCCGCGGGTTGGAGGCAGAATTTTGTCCTTCTGCTAATTTCTTTAGCCAGTTCATGCTACCTAACAGGCCTCACTTCGAAGAGATCTGTGAACCCTTGTGAAGTTGCAAAGTAGCAGAAGTGAGGCACTTTGGAGGCAAGAATTCACAGGTCTTCACAAGATGGTCTGTGCAAGCTTCCGAGTACAACTTGATGCCCTCATCAAGCCGATCTGCGGCTTCGTGGGAGCACCAAAATCAAATTTTCCCGTTCCTTCCGAAGTCCGCACGCCCACCCCAAACCAAATAGGACCCCCTAATGGGAAAACACCGGGATCATGCCATATGGTTCGGACGCGGACGAACTATATTAGACTCTTCTGTAAGGATAAAAGTACTTGTCAGTTGAGTGCGGGAAGACCCACGCCTTCCCACCCCCTCCCCCCCGCTCAGAGCGACGAATAAAATATAATTAAGATAAATCACATTTGAAATGCCACTAAGACTTCGAAGGATTCCAGAGGCAAGCGAAACGCGCGGCTTATTCCGCAGAGAGACTGGTCAACGCTTGATGTTCAACCTGTTCATATTTTTCAAAGACTATGGAGTGTAGATGCTCACCTTTTCCACAACGCAAGAAGAATGGTACTCCTTCCCATCGTTCATTATGTACATGAAGAACTGCCAATGCAAAGGTGGGCGTTATAGAATCTTCAGGTACATCCTTGTCATCCTTGTATCCAGCGTCGGCGCCAGGCTCTGAAAATGAGAAAAATATCAAACACGCGATCATACTAAGCGATTCAGTCGCTTAACCTTCACAGTCCTTATGTTCTTAACAAAGCCTTACAAACTCTTCAAAAGCAGTTGGCACGATAAATCCCCAAGACGAGTGGGATTAATATGCCTGGCAGGACGGAATTCCGCGACCCTGAGCAGGCGCTGCGTAGCGCCTTTCCAAGGAAGGTACCCTTATAAGGGCCCTATCAAGCTACAACATACCGACCCGAACGCCCACCACGCCCGCCCGCCCACAAATGGACGACGCTCGTATTGCTTCATTTGCTAAGTAAAATATGAAGCGAAAGATTGGTATGAGGCGGAGACGGTGCTGCATGGATATCTGAGTACTATGTACAGCCGTAGCTACCGTTATTCGCGAGATACCTACGGGAAACTCGTCCGAAATTGCTTTTTGAGTCATTAAGAACGAAGGCTTTTCTCGCAGGTTTTTGACCGTTTCACTTCGTTTTTCGCCATTTTCCCCCCCCCCCCCTATACAGCGCCCTGCCAGCATTTTGGGCCGAGTACCAAATTATCGTCTTAAGTGCCTTCAAATATGTCCACTTTTGAAGCGTGGCGGCCTACCGTATCGCAATATTCTTCCAAATCCAACCCGAAAAAAACTTCCAAAACTTACTCCATTTTCTGGAGCTTTTTCAGGGATTCTTGATCTGAGCAGATGCATTTTCACGGACGGAGGAGTCTGACAAAACAAAGCCCGAATTTGTCTAATTTCAAGTTTCCTTTCCTCTACTGTTCATACAAACACTGCCACGATTTTAGAAAAATCGAGCGCACGGCGTACTCCAAAAAGAGCTGTTTGACGCCCTATCGAAACAGCAAAATACATACAAATAATAAGAAATCGACTACTAACGAGCGCACTCCGAGTTCGCCACATACTGCCCTAGAACCATATCCTTTAGG